CTCCGCCATCTGACTTCTGGGGTAACTGGAACGCAGCATTAGTTCAGGCAGGCCATAAAAACTAGTTCATCCCACAGTGCACAGGTTGATGTCAATGTTTGCTCACACCAGCTAACAGCTCAGGCAGTTATCCTTTATGCATCCAACTGGCGAATGCGCTCTGGTCCATCCTCAGTGGTCTTTGCTGCTGCTCTTCCTGGCTTAACTTTAGATGTTTGACATAAAACAGAGAGGAGGTGCTTTGGCATTCAACATTCACATGTCGACGGCAGGGAGCTCTCAGAATAGAGTCTTACTTCCAAATAAAACTTATTGCATGAAATGATAAAGTGGTCCTGACTGAACTAAGAGTAGCTCACTAGGTACAATTCTCAGTTAACCATGCAGCTGTGCCACTGGCTGACTCTGCCAGCTGTCAGGCTTTGACAGCTGGCAGAGTCAGCCAGCTACAGTGAGTTTTAGCTACTGAGCTGGATAAGCCCTGCAAATGCAAACAAATGTTGCATCTGTTTTGCATGTATATGACTTTACGGTGACCACAAGACTTTATGATCACAAGATAGTGATTCAGATACTATATACTCAATACTGTATATCACAAAACATTTGCAAAGTGCACTGTGGTGGTCAGTTAGAAAACTGAACACAAGACCAGGTCTTATGTTAAGGGGTTTTGGAAATTCTGTCCTCCTCATGTGAACATTGACAATCAAATGATTTAAGATAAGGACGTGAATAGGAGTGATGAAATGCTGACCCTTGTATTCAGCTCTTTTCAGAGTTTGACTGGACCCTGTCTCAGCCTCACCACTGACCTGGTGGCTTTTGGGAGTCAGGCGCCAGATTTCTGGGAGGGTTGGTCCCCTTGCTAATTTCCCATCCCAATTCAATGCGGTCTCATCCAGAGGCCAGCAATTGTTTGCTTCAGCCAGTCCAGGTACAGTGCTGCTTTTGTTCAGTCCCTCCGTTGCTCTGAATACAGTCCCAGAGCCAGACAGACCTGCAGGCTACGTTATCAGGACCCTTTGTCCTGCTTCTTAGCTTCCCCTGCCCAGATCCCCAAACACAACAGAGGAGAGGCACCGTGTGGGCAGAAAGTCTGTCTCTGAGGCTCCCTCAGGGTCAGGGTGACCCAAGCACATTTACACAAATACTAAGAGCCAGTTTAAGGTACTTAAACTTTACCTCTCACTTTACAGGTTTACACCATACATATCTGACACGATTCTGATAGATAAGGATACATTAGCAGGTATTTTTCTACCCAAAAATGTAATGTAATGTAATCATGTAAACATGTAAATGTAATCAGATAGACAAAAGACTCACAATGCTTACCTCACTCTTTCAATTTTATGTATACACAGGTGTATCTCAAAAATGGGAGTATCATGAAAAAGTTCAATAATTTCCATTATTTCTTTAATCAAGTGTAAATATAATATATAAAACCTTTTTTATGATTACATTGGATGAATATGGTCTACAGCTTATGAAATAAAAAAAACATTACATTTCTATTCAAAAAGAATAAATTCTGCATATTTCTTGGTGAAGTTCAGTAAACATAACCATAATCATGGTGAAGACTGCTGACTCGACTGTTGTCCGGAAGATGATCACTGACACCCTCCACAAGGACGGTAAGATGACTGTTCACAGAGTGCTGTATCAATGTGAATTTGACTGGAAGACCACAACCTTAAGATGATTTTCAAGAAAATTTTGTATAAAAATTTACAACTTTTTGTCAGCAGACTGAAGCTGGTCTCAGAGCCCTAAGAACCACTACCCCACAGACAACAACCATCACATTCCTGAGAGACTGTCAGATGAAAGTCGATTTAGCATTTCATTTAGAAACCAAGGTCTGTCTGTGAACTTGACCATGGAATTAGGAAACCATATGTCCAACGATTTGACAAATCCAAATATGGTATTCCTCTTGGAAATCATGTACTCTTTGAAGAGGGATCACTCAGGTTGTTATCAGCACACAGTTCAAAAGCTTTGGAAAATTATTTACTGACATTTCCAGGGAAGACGAACCCAAACCACATTCTGGATGCATTACAACAGCATGGCTCTGTAGTTGAAAGTCTAGGTGCTCAAATGGTCTGCCTGTAGACCTATTGAAAACACTTAGAGCCATAAAACATAAAAAGATATGACAAAGGAGACCCTGAGGTGTTGGACAGCTGAAATCCTACACCAGGAATGGGACAATATTCCAATTTCCCAACTCCATCACTATTCAAACCTTTGCAGAGTATTGTTACAAGTAAAGGTGATGCAACACAATAATGACATGTCCCTGTCCTAACTGATATAAATAGTGTAGCTGGCATCAAATTTAAATAATTGACATTTTATAAACACATATTTATCATTAAGTTTCAACATTCAATATGTCGTTTTTTTACATTCTCATTTAATATTCTTGTCCAGATCTTTGCTTGTATTGTTCTACGTCACTTTGAATAAAATTGTCAGCTAAATGATACTGCTTATATATGGGCTTTAAATTATTTGCAGACCACCAACACCTTATTAACCTTGTTCACAGCACTCCAATGTTTTTAAATAGGTGTAGTACATCAGAATGTTGAGATGTAAAAGTCTAAATCCAAAATTTGTCAGGTCTGTCTGCAAGATGACAATCAACTAATTTGAAATGTCTGTTTTTTGAACGGGGTTTGGCTCAGGCACACATCTGTGAGTTTTCATTTAAATTGAAAATGAGAAAGCTGAGGTGCATTAAAGCTACAGAAAAAGATAATAATAATAAGACTTCCATTTTCCTCTGTTGTTGTACATTATCTCTGCATGCAGAGCCACAATGTGTCTTGTCAGTGCTCATGGGTATTTTTACAGGCTGTGTTGTGTGCAGTGTAAGTGAAACAGACAAGAGCAACGTGAACGCACAGCCTCTCTGTGGGAGCACAGGTGCACTGTGGGATGTTGACCTGCTCCGAGCAGCGGGCAGAAGGTGCGAAAGACAGCGAGTCCTGACGCCCAAATTACAGAGCTCTGCTGGATGGTGACACTCCCCCTGCTGCAGCTCTGCAGACGGAGAGACAAGGAAACACAGACAGAAGGGGCAGAGTGACATTTCCCCGACGAAGAGAAATGTCCTCTGTCCTCCATCATTCTCAGTCCTCACAGCAAAATGTCTCTGATGCTAACTCAAAAGGGCATGAAAATCAACCGAGAACAAGAGGAGATACTGTAGTGGTACACTGAATAAATCTGTCTGGGTCTGACGCTGATAGTATGGTTGTCTTAAATCAGAGGTGTCCAATCATCTTTCTTAAAGGTATAAACTCAGAATAAAAACCAAATCAAAATTACAAAAGCTTTGCAAAAATATGCAGAAATAAAAAGACTCAATAGGAAAACCTATGAGCCAATGAGAAATCCTCATCAGAGTGGGTCACCAGCTGTTTCAGTCCTTCACTGAGTACTTCCCTTCTTGGTCACACACTTGATTCAGTCTGGAGTTTAATTTACCATCACGTTTTACAAAGAAATGTTTCAGTGAAAGTATGTTTTTCCTCCAATCCTGAAAATAATGAATGCTACTTCTACATCATAGATCCAGCTATCAAAAAGATGCTTCTGTTCTTTCATCGTATCAAAATAAATGGCTTTATTAAAGAGGGAACATCTTTTCATTCTGTTTGATGCAAGACCTGTAGAAAGATCAGCTCAGTGAAGGTGTTATTGCAACAAACAGGATGATCACAGTCAGTGAGAGACTTTCAGTGTACGACACATAAAGCAGTAAAGCATTTAGAGTCAGCATACGCCAGATTTGAAGCTGGACTAGAGCTAAAGTCAAACATGATGTTAGTTTGTGGATGTTTAGGACAGAGGAGGCTGTGGTTATTGCCTGTGTCTTCATTATTGTCCCTGTGCTGTCTTAGAGCTAAATTCTCCTCCTGATCGTCCTTTTAAGGGTGTTTAATGGCAACGTCAGTAAAAACAGGCTGTTAGTTTTCAGTCATTTTAAGCTGAACATCAAAAAGAGCCTCCTTGTGTCCTGGCGAAGGTGAGACAAAAAGTCAATTTTAGGAAATGAGAGTGATACAAACATACTCCTATCGTATCCTTTTTTTCTGCAGTGAGTTTTATTTGATTTGATAAATAATTAGATTTTTAAAATGTATGTTGATTCACAGACCGTTCGGGAATGAATTTACCTTTGGACTCACACTTTCAAATAAAGATAAACTGAATTCTGGGTTTGAGTTTTGATGATGCACAGCTTTCTTGAATATCTCCCTTCACAGAAGAAGCTCAGAAGACAGACAGATGGAGGCTGAGGTACGTAGCATTAAAGAGAGAAACAGAGGAAGAGTTGCACTGACATAATCACATCTCACGTCCTCCTTTGTCCACTCACACTCACTCAGGGATTTGACCACCGATTAAAACTTGTTGGACTTAGATGGTTTTAGTTTTCGATGTATGCTGTGGCTAAAAAAAACACACCCAGCAACAGCAGAAAGCTGTAAAATAAGAACTGAAAAGAAAAAAGAATAAAGTAGCATTATTTTCAGAAGATGGATTGTGGTACACCAGCTCTTTATCGGTCATTAAATCACCTATTAATGCTTTATTCGGCATGACCATAAAAAAATGAAGTTATACAAACACAGGCTGTTTTACTCAGTGTGTCTCACTAACTGATAAATAATAAGAAAGTTCTGCACTAAATTGTGATCATGATATTCTGAGGCTGTTCAATCAAAATACGGGAGACCAGGAATGGTTGTCACAAAGACTGTGTCACTGTCTTATCAAATATTCGTTATGTTTTGTGTGGTTGTTTGCTGAAGCAGACATGACTGGAATTGTCATGAGTAAGGCCTTTTTGTTTATGCAGATGCTTTATATTTAAAGTAAAAAGCTGATCTGTGGTTTTTGGGAAAGTATCTCATCTCATTGACTCATGTTACTGTAAGTGAGAATCGTTTTTCGTGTAATTGTACTGTTTTGGGTTTGGGTTTAAAATCAATAACTTGTTTTTACGTCAGTATTTTCTGTGGGAGAATCATATTTCTCTATATTTTACATCACTTTAGTTACTGGGGGGAAATTTGAAGTAAAGGTTGTAAATGTTCATCAGCTTTACAGTTTTCAACTGATTAAATGACATCTACCACCTGACATTCAGAAGAGGTAACTTGAAGCAGAGGAGATGAATATATATATATATATATATATGTGTGTTCATCATTAAATCACATCTAGAAAGGCTTCTGTAAAGGTGGAAATATACGCACACAGTATGTAGAGAGATAGCCTCTGTAGTCAGACTCTTATTTCTGACCATTGTAGAAATTTTTTTTAATCCCAATCGTTATCAGTGTTTGTAATCCTGCACAGAAGCTGAAAAATGTTTATCAGCCACTAAACACAGATGGCCATGTCTTCATTGAGCAGGGGTGATCGATAAAATATTAGTAACAAAAAATAAATATTCAGTAACTTCACCCTGAACACACACATGAATGCCCTCCTGTCTGTTCAATTACAATAGTTATTTTAAGAAAACATACTTCACATAATCCTGTGAGAATATCTCACCTCCACTTCCCATCATAATGGGTTAAAAGTAAGTACTTTTTAGTTTACTTGAATTTAATATTTTAGTACATTTTTTACCCTTAGTCATTCTCCAAGCTCTTATCAAAAGTGAAAGTTACTCACTTTGATTTGAGCCTAATTTTAGCCAGCTAGTTAAAGCCATGCAGTAGCTTGCATAAAAACTTTGTGAAGAGGTCAAATGCATAGACATAAATACATAGATGCTACATCTGAATGTCAACATTGGCAGGGATGCTCTGGAAATTACGCATCCACATGCATGTAGCATTAGGCATCCTGACTGTTGTTTAATGACCACAGCAAACTAAATCTGACATCACCATGCGGGCAGAGCCTCTACCAAGTCTCTACAGTTGGACATATTGACTGTGTCCCACTCCAGGGGATGCAACGCTTGAAGAACCCGGCCTTCTTACCCTGCCTGAACCAGTCAGGCTGACCTGGATTAAGATGGTTTGGTCTGTGGAGGAGTTGCTGTGTGTCCCATCACACAGTCATTCAGTCCTAACGCTGGTGCCACATAGTGCCACCAATGGCCTAGCCAGAAAGTTAGCTACCCAGCATAGCAATGGTCACATGTAAGATAATTCAAAGTTTCAATGAGTTTGCCCTTTTAACATTTCTAACACAGCTCGCTATTGAGTTGAAACCAAACCCTTTCATCTAACTCTGCCTTTTGTAAGTCTGTCTTCTCCCTAAATTTTCAGCGCAAGGACTCACTGGACATTGCTGCCCAATGCATCTTCTGCAGCCTGACAAAAGTAAGACACATTTGGACTCAGACTGGGACAGCCATCACTGCACAGCAATGACGCATTTGGTCTCAGATGTGGCCTTCAAAGGCTGCAGCCTCTTGGACTGGGACACAGCCATTACGAAGACTACTTCTAAACCTGTCTTTGTAACTTTGAGTTTTATTCTTTTGTGTCTGTGTGTGTGGGTTTGTGTGTGGGTGAGTGGTTCTTACATTCATCTACTGGTTAAATCACTTCAGAAAGACAGGTGGCAGCAAGTGTCTCTGTTAAAGTCTATGTGGTCTCAAATATTTTTGAGTAAACACACACTTCCATTCTCTCTCTCTTTCACAAACACACCGACAAAATAAAAGCTTTAAATGATATTTACGGTGAATCCATCATTTTGAAACCTTTACTTTTTCACAACACGGTGTACCTTCATCTTATAAAACTGAATAATTTAAACAGACAAATGCAAGTAGAAGTGATGAAGGACGTGTTGTTGTTACTGACTTTGAAACTCGCAGTGTCTCCAGCCTCAAACTTAAAAAAACAAAAAGGGTTACAATCTTTTTTTAAAGATTTATCGTTTTCAAAAGTCTTTTTACTAAATTCAAATCAACCACTACAGGGACAACCCTAACTGTGTGTTTTTAGAGTTGAATAATTTTATGTTAAATTAATTTATAGGAATAAATCAGAAAACTACTTCAGCACAAGACCACAAGCTCTGGTCTGATGTAGAAATTACAGCTGTGTCTCTGCTGTGGCCTTCGCACACTGAGTCCATCTTTATTCAGATGTGTGTGTGTGTGTGTGTGTGTGTGTGTGTGTGTCAGATCCATAATCTGATAAAAAATAAATGAACAGAAACCTTTCACACTGAGTCCAATGCACTACTTTTTTCAATCAATTGCTAAAATTGGTAGTATGAGGGGGGAAATAAGGTCATTTGAGCAGTAAAACTGATCCTGTGGTTTTTTTGACTCTTTGAAAAAGAACAAGAAAGACACTGAAAACAAGGAGCTGCAAAGTTATACCCATCGCTTCCAGGTAGATTTTAGGATATCAGTGGTTCAGTTTGATACACTTCCAGAGATACTGGAATCACACATGAACCCTCAGGTCCCACTGGTTCTTTTTGGTAATATCTGTTTAATTCTCAGTGTTAACCTTTTACTTATGATCTCTACGGCATGACAGTAGGTAGAAATGAACATTTCCTAACAGCTTAAATCAGGGGAATCCGATTTCTTTCTGCTTCTATCTGCAATAATAGATACATTCAACTTCAAAATGACTCTGTTATGAATTTTGAACCACTGCAACTGCATCTTTAGTGTCCTATAAGCCCATGATGGTTGGGCACTTTGTGTGCATGACACATTAATAAAAATAATCAATCAATTAATCAATCAAACCTATAACAACTGTGGTTGTTGATCGCATGGTCCTTGTAGCATAAACACACAATGTCTCATAATTTACATTCAATTTCCAGCCATTTTTGTGTTATTTGGATATATCTAAACTATATCAAGACACCATTGATATAGTTTAGATCACCGCGGCAAAAGCAGAAAGTTCTCCTAATGACCACTAGAGACACTGGTCGGGCAGCTGAAGGCCAAGGTGCCTTCATCATAGGTCAAATAAAGGGTTTAAACTGCAAAAAAAAAAATCTTATTGTTAGAATATATTTGTAAATACAACTAAAGTTTGTGAAAGCACTTAAAGTGGGAAAAAACACAAATATATTATCATTTTGGAACGTAATGGTCTGGGTGTTACTTTCGTCTTTTTTTTTTTATAGCTGACAGTGCAAAAATAAATACATAAATAAATAAATATAGAGTTAAAAAAAAATAAAAACAAAATACATTAAAATGTTTCTTTAAAAAGTGTCAAAATCTTATTTTCCAGTAATCATATACATAATATTTTAAATTATAATGTTGATACTATTTCATCGTGTCCACTTTCAGGACCTAATCTCCGTAGTGTGGCTTTTTTGCGATCCTTGAAAGCAGCTAGGTATGTTCATGGTAGAGACAACGCGCGCACATACACACACACACACACATACACACACACAATTCAGCTTAACTGCATATTTGGGTCTGTTGATATTCAGACAAGATCACAATCAATGGGTGTTCATGTTTTCTCATTCAAAACCCCCCCTGGGGAGCGCATGGATAAAGTGCTTTGCACCATTCAGTTTGCCATAAAACACAGAAGATCGAACGTATTTCAAAATAATGGTAATAAAAATAATGACGGACTGAAGTTCAGTGTGCAAACATGCTTAACACAACTTCACATTGTATCTTTTTTTTTTTAGCAAAAGCAGCAGTTTCAGATTAAAAACACGGACAGAGTGCGCAAAGGCCATAAGACGCATTGACTCAAGAGTCTGTGCAACAACCAACTCCAGTCTCCCGTATTATGAATCAACATCTACAGACCCCCCCAATACTCACACGTTTTAAAAGCGACTAAGACAATAACAAGATTTGGTTTATTTCTACAAATAAGATTTTTTTTTTCCCTCAAATGTCACCAGAGGGATTCCGTAGCTTTGTCCTTTCTGACGCTTCATATACGAGCTGAAGACTCAGAGGTTTGGATGTTGTGTTAAAGCAGGTAAACTGAGACAGCGCGAGCCCAACATGACACCCGGTTAAGCATCCATCAGGCCGGTTAATGGATGTGATGTTCCGCCTCATGTGTGAACATCCACAGAGAGGGAAAAACTCACCCCAAAGACTCTTGAAATCTCCTTTTTATCCACTTTTTTTTTTTTTTACCAAAATGTTAAAACGCTGTGATAGAAGAGCCACAGACCAAACTCCAGTCAGTTTTCGTCTCTTTACTTCAGTTAAGAAAGTTACACAAAAGGTGGCAAATTTGTCGACAATAAATAATAAATAATTTTTGTTGCACGGGAACAAACGAAACATTTTCTTCCAGAGCTAACGTTTTTAACTTATTAATAATAATAATAATAATAATTATACACATCTTTGGGAAAGAAAAAAAAACTGGTCGGACGGACACTAACTCACACAGATGTCCCACGAAGCTTGTGGCAGAATAGAGGTATACCTTGTTGCAAATGCTTTAGTACTCGGGTCATGAAGAAGAGGATGGTGCGTAAAGATGAAGAGCAGTGCTGAGTCCTCCGGGTCTAATCATGGTGAGGAAGAGGAGGAGGAAGGGGGGTCCCGTTTTTTTTTTCTAAAAAAAATCACCAGTCCGTGTGGTTCAAGTCGCGCTCAGCAGGTTCAGGTTCAGGTAAAGACAGAGTCCGCTTCACGTCTCCGTTTGGCAACTGGAACCGGGAGAGGGGGGGTGGGGGGGCGGCGCGCGTGACCGTGCAGCACCGGCCGTGATGACGCGTCACGGCAGGACGGTGTCAGTGGTGGTAAAATCCCATGATTGTCTTCACAGTGTCAAAATACAACCAGGGGGGTTGTTTGGTGCGGTCTGGGTGGGTGGCTGGGGGAGGGACGGGGAAAGGGGAGGTGGGGGGCTGGAGATGGGGGGCGGTGGTCCGCTTAGGCCTCAATGGGACTGGATACCATGCTGTTCGGCGTGTCCGGGAGCTGGGACGACATGGACGCTACCTCACTGCCCGTCGAGTTGGAGCCCGGACCCCCCTCTGAGAAAGTGACCTATACGGAAGAGGGAAGGAAGATCAGACCGAGGATAGAGGACAGGGAGCGTGGCACATCCAGAACTGTGACCCCAAGTGTCACAACAGTATCGTAGTTTATTTAAACGCTAGTGCATGTTTGCAGAAGTTAATATTTCCAGGATTATTTGCGTGGCAATCGCACTTCGACGCTTCCCAAAAATGAGTTTTTTCTGTCTGTTTAAATGTCCATTGTTGCTAAAATGAAAAGATGTTCAGCCATTGCTTGAGCTATATTGGCCAATATTTGACGATGCCCTTCCTCCCTGATGGTCACAAAATGACATTCTGGTGAAAAAGCAAACTCAAAAACAAAAGCAAAAAAAGCATCCTTTAACAATGAGAAAACCTATCTCGGTTGACAGTCTTTCTTCATCACCTTTAGTTCACATTAATATCTAAACAATTCATTTATTGTTTAAAACAGATCTGAATTTGTCTTTCATTTGAGCAAATTGCATTCTATTCTATGTGCATCAGAGTGAGTATACAGTTACTTGTACACTTGTACTGCTGGTTGGAGTCTCAGTGAAATTGTCAGATTCTTCACATGTTTTAAAAAATTCTTCATCGTTCAAGCATCACATGCAAAATTCTCTATTCACATATAATCAGGCAAAACTCAAAATATCTCTGACATGGATTTCTGCCACTGCAACACCTATCTTTGGATAAACTTTACAGAGAACATGAGAGATGATTGGTTAGGCCTGATTTGATCAATTATGTGATTGTGTGAGATAAGTGAATCCTGCACTAGAAGCCATAATGGAGTTTCTACCAACATAGTTCCTGTTCCTGAAAGTTATTTCACCAGAGGTGGAGAAAGTGTGTGACCAATGCCACAAATGCTGAGAGCATCACAGGTAATGAGCATTTCAAGAGAAAACATCAGGCATAGTGACATTGGAAAATCTCTGTCCAGACCAACGAGACCGACAGGATGTGGATGAAGATGAGGAGTTTTATATTGCTGACTGTGAACCCATAAGTGCACAGGTCCTTTTTTTCTAAATGACTTTCAGCATTTTTTAAAATTGTTTTAGGATGTTTTCTTCAACTTGCATTTTCACAGGGTCATAGCCTAATAGTGTAATTTATGACTGTAATGGTGAAAAAGCATCATTATAAGTACTTCATTTTGTTTAAGTAGCACTGGCCTGTAAACTGAAAGAGGTAAAAAAAATAGAGTAGAAATGTTTAGGTGCCTTTTGCAAACATGACATACAGTTTTGGAGCTTTTACAATGTTTTAGAAAACAAATCAGTCAACCATATTCTAGAATAAAGTTTTTTTGCCCAGTGCCACCAAAATGAAAAGTTGTCCGATTATTGTTTGAGCCAAACTGCTCAATATGCAAAGAAGCTTTTCCACCATGGTAGTCATAAACTTCATCCTCATTTGGTTGTCAAAAAAAATCTAAAAAGTGTAAGTACATGTGATGCTTGAACCATGAGAGACTGTAAAAAGTTTCACTGAGAATCAATCAATCAGTTTTGATCAGCAGGTGATTTGTGTGCAGATGGGTAGAGAACTGCGCTTACTTTTTTTGCTTTAATGCAGGAGTGCCAAAAGTAAGACTATTTTCACCCCTCAGCTGCATCATTTTAAAGATGATGGTCATTATTCATTTTAATCAAAGAGGTTAATGTTTATTCTATTTGTATTAACTGCACATTTCTCATCAATATTGCATCCAGTTAAGTCTATGGCGTGCAGAATTTTGCATCCATGTCCACTGCACTTTCTGTGAAATACTGAAGGTTTAAGGCGGTACCAGGTGGTTAAGTGTTTGGGCCTAATGTGATATTTCTGTCCATGGGGCCTAAAATCATTGACAGCTCCCCTGCCCACATTTATCATTCAGTTTTAATCTGTTTTAATAAGTGAGAAATAATCATCTAATGTGAACAATAAACCAATTGTTAGTTAAAAGTACTTTTTTGAGCGATGAAAAAACTGTAATGAGCTGTAATGTTTTCTTCGCGTTACTATCTAGGGTTCTCCAAGCGCAAAGCCTGACGGTGACGGTTTTTGAGATCTGTCAAAGTTTAAAAAAGCGTCCCTGATCCACCTTGCCCTTAAACTTTCTATTTTGTATGAATATTGCGGGAAATATATCCCAAACCGCAGCGCGATGTAGCTGTGATACAGAACACCTGTGCGTAATCATCATAAACAACTGGCGCTTACACTTGAACCTCTCCTAAATGGCTGAAAATGTTTTCACTGAGCTTGTAAATTTGATTAATAGAACATTTAAGCCCCACATTTTCCAGCCATACAGTAAAGAGAGTGTACTCTGCAGGAGGCCAGCTTCCTTTTTAAACCCCTTCAATGCGTAAACGCATCACCAACAAGGCCTGAATGAAAATAATCCTCATTTCTTCCTTAACCAAAAATGTTTGACTTGTAACACAAAATGATGTGTCAGTCAAAACAATAATAGAATCAGGTCCAAACAGCAGATGGAAGCTCTCTCCAGATCTCATCATAATAATACTAATCCACTTAAATATGGCGCAGGCCTGCTTTTTGTCCACGTTCAGTCTGATGCGTATTTCCCAAAAGAGTCCCCATCATCGATCTGAGTCTAAATCTCCTCAGCGAAAGACTCCAAAATACGTCAGTGCATTTATATTTACTCTTAATTTATCTGAGTACCTTCACAGTGGTGTAACAAATTAACAGAACTAAAAGTGTGTTTGAGTTTGTGCGTAAAGCCGTGTTAACTTCGCACCATTGCAGGGCTTCTTTAAAACCAACACTGCTCACTGTAATGCAAAAAAGCTCTGCTCATAGATTCAACACATCTTAAATAAAACATTTTCCTCTGATAATTTGTCAATTAAGAAATTATCTGTCAACATAAACCTGTCCTGCCGTTTGACGCAGCAACATCAAGAATTTAAACCCCTGTGTATAAAATAATGAAACGCTCAAATGACGCTCTGTAGAAAAATAGCAAATCATATTTTAGAAGTTTTATTTACATGTTTCTTAAAAGATTCTATCCTGACTATCTCACTCTCACAGTGAAGAGGAACAGGAGTTATATGTGTGTAGTGCCACTGTGCCATTTACATATTTTACGCAAAGATCAAACCTGCTGGATTCACACATGGTCCGATTAAAAATACTTAAACTTCTCAGAAATATTGTAAAAAGGAGCGCCTGTGCGCAGTTATTTGACGCACCAGCTGTTGGAAGGCGGGCTGGTCGATGTCGCTCTGCAGGGCGAAGTCGCTGAGGACCTTCCAGGGCGGCTGGTAGCTCTGAACCTCCACCGGATTCGCCTGCAGGCCGCCGTCATGCCGCTCCGGACTCGCCGCCACCATCGGGGTCCCTGTCATACCCTGGATGTTCTGAGAGAGGAGGGGGATGGGGGAAGAGGAGGAGGAGGAGGAGGAGAAGGAGGAGGAAGGGGGGTCAGACCCGGAGCACTCAGAGTACACGGAGTATATCTCTCACTAAAGGTGCAGGTGATAAGGTGGGGTGTGACTCGCTAAGTGTGTGTGCTTAAAGAGAAGGGGGGTCTGACATGAACCTGCTGTCAGTCATTTGAACAATCAATAAACATGCAAACAAATAAAGTCAACACAAACAGGAAGTGAATGTAGAGAGCTGGCAGCCTTCAGCTTCAGAAACTCAAAGGGACTGTTTTTTTGCAGGTCTAAATGTTGTGGCGCTTTAGAAGAGTCCAGAAGAGCCTTGTCACTGATGGAGCAGGCTGAGGAAAATATACATTCACCCTGATCGTCAGTCTCGTCTCCAGTTTAAAAAACAAAAAGTTCCTGAATGATAAAGTTCTCCACCCTCCGTCTTTCCTCTCACCGTCTTGTCGTTGGGCTGCTGCTGCTGCAGCTGCTTCATGAGAATGCTCCTCTTCTTGTCCTTGCAGCGTTTGTTCTGGAACCAAACCCGGATGACCCGTGGGCTGAGCCCGGTCATCTCCACCAGCTGCTCCTTCATCAGCGCGTCAGGCCGGGGGTTGGCGTTGTAACAGGTCCGCAAAGTGTGTAGCTGTTTTTCGTTCAGCACCGTCCGGACCCGCGTGGTCTTCTCCGGCTGCTTGTGTACGTGAGGCCGCAGTGCGGGCTGCCGGGCCGAGATTGGTTCTGCTGTTTGGAAAGGACGAGAAAAGAGACGGAGGGAGAAATTAGTGGATGAGAAGAGACAGGGGGTCAGAGTTTGAAGTGTTTCTGTGAAGGCCGGGTGCGCATTACGCACAATCAGGCTCTTTTTATTCACATTGATGGTTTAGGATACTCATGGAAAGCATTTGGAGCATTTAACGCACATCAGATCAGAGCTGTTTGAGTCAGAGAAGCACATTCTTACAATCTGCCGAAAGAATAATCCTCCAGAAATGATAAAAGGGTTTCTAAGCTTCAATTTGTTTATGGATCTGAATAAAAGAAAAACTTCTGGTCGATACTTTGAATAAAAGCTTCATTAAACTCAGAAGGACAGACTACTCCAGAGAAAACCTCACACCCTCTTAGACCCGCAGAGCTCTGCAGTATTTCTTAAAATGACCAAACGCATCCCGGACCCACAGCCATGCCCTCCCTCCCTTCCTCCTCATCCTCCTCCTCCTCCCTCACAGCGATAACCCGGTGTATTTCTGACAGCAGCGCCCGGTCTATCTTATCTGTTGAGTCTGGATTGACTGCACACTGGTATGCGCAAAAGACACAAAAGAAAAACACGTATATGAAGAACTCTAGAGTGAAATATTTGTGCAGCAAATCTTCACGGGAGCGGTTTGAGTTAGAGCCTGCATCAGACAGTGAATCACTCCCGACTGTGCAGGAGAAAGAGGCTCTTTTTCATCAGAGTCAAAGAGAATCAGCTCCTTTTCTCATCCAGCAACAAAAGAAAAAGGAAAAAAAAAACACCAGCGTGACTGCAGTCAGAGAGGACAGGACCGTGTCGTCGCGGTTCAAAGCAGCTCCAAGCGCGCGCACACACACTCAGTCCGGGGGACTTTACCTGCCATCTGCAGCGGTCTGGCGGGGTGCAGCGGACTGAGCGGGTCTCCGGGGCCCAGACTGGCCCGCTCCACCACGTCGTGATCAGCTCGGCAGAAGAGCCCGTCCTCCCTTAGAGCGAATTCATCCCCCGGGATGAGCTGACGGCTGCAGGCCACGCAGCGGAAACACTCGATGTGGTAGACCTTGGAGCGGGCCCGCATCACGAAGTCGTTCTTACTGAAGCCGATGTTACACTTGGCGCACTTGATCCCGTATAACCTGCGGGGACACACACAGGCAGGCGCTCCGGTTAGGACATAATAATAATAATAATAATAATAATAATAATAATAATAATAATAATAATAATAATAATTGGAACTAAATATATTAATATCCGGTAGTATCGTTATAATTATGTAGTCTACTTTATGTATCATATCTGACTGGTGTAGTTGAATTAAATGTTGATTCTATTATGATACGAGTTGTTTTATGGGTCAAATCTCTATGAAATATCAAGACTGTGATGAGTTTTGTTTACATACAAAAAGCTGAAGGCCTGTTTGGCTTCAACTTAAAAAAAAGGGATAAATAATCATGATGAAAAAAAAGAATTATTAACGTAAATGCTGCAAGATGGAGTCAATTAAAAATAAACTATTAATATAAAACTGAATATGAGATGACATGAAGTCCAGTCTGTCATATTCCGCAGGTCCATCTGTCACAGCAGACTCTGATCTCAATCAATGATTCATAAATAAGTGATGTGACCCTGATGCTCATTGTTTTAGCTTTTTTCTACAGCACCTCACATAAAATCAAAAGTCTAAAAATATTTATGTATGTTTGTTTTTTTCTGAAGATGATCCTGATCCTGATATTTGATATTTAAACGGACTGAACCTTCACTGCGCGCCTCTTATCAGTCCAGATAAACTCAATTAGATTTAATAGGCGAATAATAATAATGATGCTGAATATTATCATTATTATTATTGTTATTATAAAATTCAAAAATTATAGTAGTAATCCGTAAAGTCATTGGAGCTCCAGTCGTCTTGTTTCACACAGTGGGGTTCCAGCCCGGCCCTCCTCTCCTCTCCTCTCCACGGCCCCGTGTCCTGACCCACCTGATGTAGTCCCGTTTACAGTATGTCTTCCCGTCCCGGACGAAGCACGTGCATGACTCGTCCAGGTACTGGCTGCACTCGGCGCATTTGAGGCACGCGGCGTGCCACTCCAGGTCCGGAGAGACCCGTAGGATGTATTGGTCGTGGATCTGATTCCCGCAGCCCACGCACAGAGACACGAGCCGCTTCTCTGCGAAACACACACACGAAACACACACAAACATAAACACATGAGAACTCCTCATATAGCCGGCTTCTAAATGATTAAAAACACTTATTCAATTATTATTACTATTATTATTATTATTATTATTATTATTACTATTATTATTATTATTGAAATTAATAAATAAAAAAATAATTTGTAAATCCACTGTTTTCTTCCACCTCTCGTGTAAAAACTCTAAAATTAAAAGTGTGTCAGTAAAGTGCTCCGCTGCGTAAAACAGGCCGAGTCCCCCTCTTTCTACTCCGCAGCATCCAACACCTAATTCCCTCAAACTTGCTCTGAATTCACTCCGCTCTCCGCGTCCCAAACACCCCCTCACACGGGGCAAGTTCTCTTACTTTTCGGCGGGTCCCCCATGTCTCCCATGTCCACAAAGTAAGGCGCGGTGAGGTCCACTGTCTCAGCGGGCTGCGGATCCTGGAAGCCGGGGTGAGTCCTCCGCTGCCGGGCTGGGCTGCCGGGCCAGGGGCTGCGTGTCCGGCTCGGAGAGGGAGTGTGTGTGTGTGTGTGTTTGATGCCGGTGTGTGTGCAGCTCTGATCCTGCATGACAAGCGGCGAGCTGACGTAGGACAGCGGCACGTCATCTGCATGAGCAGCTGATTGGCTGCGCGGGGAACACACTCACACGCACACTGGCACACTTCTTGCTGCATATCATTTGTTTTCCAGTTTTGCTCTTTTCTCGTAGTTTTTTTCCCCTCTTCTCTCCTCTCCTCTTCTGAATTGTTTGGAGTGTGTCGGTGCAGCTCGTGCTCTTTCTTCCTTCAATTACACAACATGGTTTCCTTTAACTTCAGACACAGAGGAAACAAATTTAGGATTGAAATGAAGCATTATTTTAAAGAAATGCTGCACATATTCAGGACGTGGTCAGGCCAGGATTAGAGAATTAAGTGTGTATTATTTACACAAAATCCTTACTCTAAACGTTAACTCTAAATAGCAAAGGCGAAAGACCAGACACTTTTCAGGCCTGATCATGGAAATCCCCAAGAGGAAAGCGTGATCCTTAAAATAACGAACATTACCTGTGAAACTGTGTGTTCATTTCTGCATCTGAATCAGAGAAAGTAGAGGCCAGGATCCGCAGCATCAGCTCTGACACACTCACACACACACACTCCCACACACACTCCCACACACACGCACACCAACGCGCCCTCTTGTGTTAGTAATCTCTGCGCTGCACAGACAGACAGACAGACAGACAGACAGACAGACAGAGAGAGAGGACACAGACTATTACTTTTAAAGAAACATGCTGGATGTGCAAACATTTCTGAAGTGATAAGATGGATATTTAAACACAAATGGCACATATGTTTAAAATGAAGCATGACAACAAAGAGAGAGAGAGAGAGAGAGAACAACATCACATCTGGGAAAAAAAGTTTTGATCCAATTCATCAAAATGTGACTTTCTTTTGGAAATCACAGATGCCACATCCTCTGCTCTGAAGAGGAGAGAGGAATCCTACATCAGGCTAGAGTGGGACTTTTTAAAGTCCTGTAACTGTTATACTTAAAGTTCCCAAATGTTGCAGATGTTTACACAAAATCACAACCAGAGGAAACAAACTCATATTAGAAATACTGTTAGGTTGCTATAAAAATGCTGAATAAAAACAAATTCTTATGGTTAATAAATTATTGAACACCTATTTGATCTCAAATACAACAATAACAAAATCAATTCAATATTCAATATCTAAGCTTAATAAAATGTATTTTTCAATCATGAAAACCCATTTTAAATCTGATGCTAGCGACACGTTTCAAGACAGCTCAGAAAACACCATGAGACATCTCTCAACTGCAGAGGTTAATTTGCAACAAGTCAGTAACATGGCGGGGTATAAAAAAGGGCATTCAGTGAGGCCGAGTCTCTTAGAAAGAAAGATGGGGAGAGGTTCAACACAAGAGCAAAAAGTTCAACAATTTCAAAATGATGTCCCTCTGCAAATGCCAAAGGACTTGTGAATTTCATCATCTACAGCAAATAATATCATGAAAAGATTTAGAGAAGATTGAAAAATCTCTGCCAAATCCATTGAAAACAAACATGACTCTGTAGCAGAAATCAATGCATGTGCTTAAACCACATCAAAAATCCATTGAGCAGGAACACAGTTCATCACCGCATCTACAAAACCGTACCATGCAAGGAGTTGGCCATTATTAGCCCATTTAAAGATAGACCAAGGTGAAGAAGAAAACTGACATTCTTTTAGGAAATCATGGATGCTGTATCCTCCACTAAAGTGAAAGTCTTTATGAGGCAAGGATGACATATTTCACTTTTCAAACTCTAGTAACTGAGAATCAGACAATCAGGGTTTACTTAAGTAGGCTTGATGTTATGGTGCAACACCAATAAACACAGAGAACAGAAATAAAACTGGAAATATATGCAAAGTAAAATAGAGTTACAGGATATTGGCAAAAAGTTTTGTATTTTGACTCAAACTGAATGAAATATGATTGAGAGCACAGTATAAAAACTCTGTAGCCAGAACATAAACAAAATATATCAAAAGTTGTAACAAATTTGTGCAGGATAATGTCAGTGCAAGATCTAGCAGAGAGTGTTATTTAAAGAAGAGATGATGAACACAGTAATAATCATGTGCCTGTCACTCCTTTTTCCAAATTTGTTGCTAGCACCAATTTAAAATCAGCATGTATTTTTCTTTAAATAGCATATTAACATTAAAAATTGTTGTTGTTTTTGCACTATTTTCAAAGGCTTTATATGGTTTAGAAATAATCAAAATCTAGAAAACAACAGAATATAAAGAGAGGTTCAAACAGAAGACTTGTGGTCAACAGCAGGAAGGATTAAAAATGGAAGAGTAAACCAGAGAAGTGACAGACAGACTCCTGTTCTCAGAGGAATGGGGAACGACAGGAAGGCGTGTGTTTGTTTCAGAAACTGATTCTGCTTGTTTTCTTTTTAAAGTGAATATATCACGTTTATTTCCAGCTTTAATGCAGCAAATTTGAAGAGCACTCAAAGTTCTGGGTCCCTGACTTTGCTCTGCAGAAGCTCTAATAAAGCTCTGGAAAGGAAGGTTCATCTCCCTGATATCACACATTCAGACCATTTCTCAGACTTGCTCTTTTTTAGACTATGATGTTCTCAAAGAAGAATCTGCCATAAATCAAGTTTATAATCTCAGATTAGCATAAACGTCTCTACATCCTACAACGTTGTTTTTTATGGTTTCATTCCTTAGTCCATCTCCTCCTGGGGTCAGCTGTGTCCACACCAGGGCCTGAGGGTACCAGACTCCCAGGGGCCTTAGACAGGCCCCCAGGCTGTCTTATTGGCAGACTAAGTAACGTGACTAATCTAACATGATTAATCTTTGCTTGGGTAGTAACTGAACATAATATATTCTGGACGAGGCAGTAAGTAGAGCGGCTTTGTTCACAAAACTTCACATCTGCTAATATCCTTTCTTTTTTTCATTTACATTTGTTTGAGTTGAATCAGTTACCTGCACAGTTTGAACAGTCATGTTCGATAAACTGCTGAAAATAAAGTCTTGAATGTCTTTTTCAAATTTAGGGACATTTTTACCTTAAGTAAAGAGGACAGCTAAAGAGAGGACAGGCAGCAAAGGGTCTGTAACACCTCTATAACAGCCCACCTGGCTGAGAAGAAAACCCTCCACTGATACAAACTATGGAAAAAGTTTCTGTGGTGAACTACAGGTTTGAAAAACTTACATTGGCTCAGAATTTCATAAAGTTGTCTGCACTTTAGATCCTCACCTTGATATATGTCAACATCATAGAAGTTAAGACTCAGCTGTTTTTATTGAACAAGCATTGCAAAAACTGTATTAAAGTGGTGAGTCCCAAAACTGAGAGTTTCTCCTAATATTTCTGTATTTCTGTCAGGCCCCAATCCTAGGAGATGGACAGTTTACAAGTTTCTGCTGCAGCTTCACATTGTCCATTGTAGGCCGCCTCTTAACCGAGCTCCTTTGCCTTCCAGGATTTCACACAGGTGGCTGACAACTAAATTATAACGGCTGCATCGGTACCAGATGTCACTTTGAGTGGAAAATTGTATTTTCAGTCACAGAAATAAATCTAAATAAAAATATATTATTTAAAGCTCATGTGTACATTTTTTTGACATTTATATAACAGATTGGAATTTATATTGATGATTTCTTAATAATTAACAGTGGTAAACAAGATAATTTGTAACTGGACTTTTTTTAACAGTGTAATTTATGATGCCTGAAACTGATTTTGAGGGGTAGGTGTTGGCCAAAAATGCAACATTTCGTACACAAGTACAGGAACAATATCAGCAGAGTACAGAGGTACCTCAGCAGAAACTGAAACTTCTTTACAGGAGCTTTATTTTTCTTAACATTAAATCTTTGCCATAAATGATACTTTTGCGTGTCAAAACTTCACAAGGTAAGGATTTTGTCAGAAGACATTACTTGAGAAAGTAGAGGACAAACACAGCAAAGACAACTTTGTCCACAAGAGGCGCCCATTCCAACACGAACTCAAAGTTCCTTATTGGAGCTTTAACTCTTTAGGAAAGATTTTAATGTTTCTCAGTTTTTTACCCCCTTGGTTTTGCTCCTTCTTATCAAATTAAGGGGCCTGATTCACTAAGATACAAAATAATGTGCTCTCCTCTTACCCTGAGGCTTCCTCAAGAGGGTGGCCAACCTGTGGCTTTTTACCTGCTACGATCTCTCCTTCTTTCCTGTTCTATCAGCTGTCTAATCCTCTACAAAAAGGCATGAAAAATTAAGTCTGATTTCTTCAAAGAGCAAAGGTTTGAAAACAATCTGAATCAGCCACAGCCACAGTTGGAGACAGTGTTTGCAACAGGGGTGAAGGTAAGCCGGTATGCAGTGGTATGCAGCGGTATGCAGCCCTATACAGCGGTATACCGTACCCGGAAGACATAAACAGCAGTTCACAGCCGTAAACTTTCACTCTTGCACTGTATGTAGGAAAAATGTCCTTACCTGTTGCCGCACGTCTGTCTGCACTCTCCATTGTAACTGTAGTAATCCATTGGGCTCATACTGCTTGTGACTGAGTCGTCTTTGCTTCCGCAAACAAACAAACTCCGAAAATTCGCGCGCTCGGTGCGCACTTTTGATTGGACGCTCGTTGCCTAGGCGCTGGGGACCGCCTCCCGCCTTTTCCGGAAGGAGGGAACTTTTGAAGAGACGGCTGCTTCAATCTTAATGCAGAAATAAAACAACATGCAGAAAACAAAATGATTTTATGCTCAAGAGAAAGAGAGATGCAGCAGATGATGATACTGTGGCATCAGAGCAAGTTGAGGAGCAGAGGGGGGAAGCAGCAAAGCTACCAGGAGTGGGTAAGCTACTGACAAATGGCTGATAATGTTACTGTATCAGAACAACAGTAGGCTGCAATATGAATCTTCTCATTTGTATCTAAGTACAGGTGTATCTCAATAAATTAAAATGAATATATTCTAATTTATAACATACTTGAATAAATTGTGCAACAGAAGCCTGCAGATGACTCTA